ATATACTTTGGAGCAAGATTGAGAGTATGCACCACTCATGATGTCTAGAAGATTTGAGGATATGCTTTTGCTTCACAGACAATTTGTTGCTCTACAAACTGGTGCAATATCAGTAATAACCTGAATAACATTTAAAGGCCCAACCATCTTGATTATCTCTTTGATCAAATTGGAAATAAAAAAAAATATCTTTGTATTGACTTTCACAATTAACACCTTTAGTGAATATTAAGTAATTCTATGTGATTGCCATGAAGGTGATTAGTATTCTTTGAGGGTTCGTCCAACCATCAGACACCAAACTAATTATTTTCTCCTTACACACTTCTTATATAGGTTTAAGTAACTACTCAATATTGTATCTATCCCTCATAACTTTGATCTAGTTGCATTGTATCTGGGTGGAACATAACATACAAGGTTGTTATTATAAGCAAAAGTAAATGCATTTCACCATCAAATTGCTCTTGCATTTGCAAATTAAATGCTTTATCTACAACATCATCAACTCTACTTGAAGGGTGATGTGAAACATATAATGGAATTGCAAGATTTCAATAAGAAGCTTGTTTTAGCAATGAAATTATAGGATTAATGTTTCACTAAGTTAACACTTTCAGTTTTCGTAGTAATTGACTTGCTTCAAGCATGCGGTTACACGTTAGTTTAACAGAGCGATCCGAAATAATGACAAGAAAATAGTAAAACAAATATGCGATTAACGATAATTCGCCACTTAACAATTAGAACTTTCATCTTAGAGTTTCCCTCTCGATTGCTCTTTGGAAGTAGGGTTAGCGGAGGACAAATGTTAGCAAGCCAAGTGATGCCACTGAAAGACAAAGGATGCCGACGGTTTTGATCAACGGAGAGTTGGCCGAAGTTGGAGAGATGGGTGGTCGTCCGATGATCTTCCACTATCCTGTAGGTTGTTGCTCGTCGATGACGTCCACCAAAGTAAAGAGAATACGCTCCACATATTTCTCAACGGTGCATTCGGATCCAAATCCAGGATTGAAGAAGGGTGATTAGATGACGTCAATTTCCCCTTGAGAATTGAAAGCAAATATGTGATCAACTTCTGGATCTGTCATGCATGGACATGAGAATATCCGAGTGGTGTTCTTTGGTGGAGTCGTCGGTTGGGAATGGTGGAGAGGGCGGCGGAGAGAGGGGAGTTGGCGGGGCAAGGAGAGGGGGGCTGATGAGGGCATCAGATTTCGCCATGTGTACCATCGCCGGGGACGACGATCGACGGCCCTGATTCAGAGTCTTTACCTATGATGCTTAGTTCTTTTCTTTTATTATTAGTTATTTCATGTTTCCGTTTGTACCCCTATGAGGGATGTTTACTTATTGTAGCCCCAAGGGCATTTGTGACTTTGTGCTTTTATTTTCTCATGTAAGCCTATATATAAAGGCTTGTTTTATTGTATTGGGATTATTGATGATGAATGAAATTATTCCCTCTTGTTCTCTTTGTGAGTGCACAAAAGATCTCTTAGTGAGTTCTTTGGCGGAGATCTCTTGGTGAGTTCTCCAAGTTATTTTGGATTTGTTTGTAGTAAGTTTTCTCTTTAGAAGCTCTTAACTTTTCCCTTCCCCCAAGCTTTAGCCGCCGGCCCCAAGATCTTCCCCACCGCCGGCCGTCCCAACCAACCCAGCCGACCACCTCCCGCCGCCCCTCCCTCCTTCCGGCCAAATCCAACCCACCTAATACAAATTCTGGATTTACATTGTGTTACATCAGGGGCTATGGTTGGGTTAGTAAGGTGGAGAGAGGGATTTAGTAAATCTGAAATTAAATTCAGATTTCACTAAGGGAGGGAGAGGGGTTAAATTTGAATTTCAAAATTATCCAAAAGGAGTAATAAGGGGCAGGCGGTTTAATGGGGTATTAGTGGGGAATTAATGGTGATTGGAATTTAAATTGGAGAGAATAAATGCTTAGTAAGGGGCCGGCCATATAGGGAGGTGATGGGGGTTTCATTTTAAATGTGCGCCTTCCCTCCCCTCCCCTCCCCTCCACCCCCAAAGGAATAAACAATGAATAAAATCAAATCTGAGTTTAATTTCAGATTTGTTTCAATGAGGAGGTTTCCTAAATGAGTTTCTAGCGAAAGGAAAGTATTTGAATTCAAATATTTAATTGAATTCTCAATAGGAAACTTTTCTAATTGACTGAGATCTAATTTAGGAAAGTAAATGAAGGCAATTGGATTTTGAATTTCAGAATTTTGGGACAAGGTGGCCGGCTGGTTTGGCTTGGGTGGGAGAGGGGTGGTGGGGTGGGGCTGGCCGCCGGGTTGATGAAGTGGCTGGCGCCTTGTTAGGTGGAGGGGCGGTGGGTAATGGGGAGTCAAGGGGAGGGGTTGAGGCCGTCGGTTTGGGGAGATAGGGAGGGTATTGCCGGCTGTATAGGGGAAGAGGGAAGAGGAAAATAAAGACTAAAATAAAAGAACCAAGAACTCACAAAGAGATCGTAGAACCGCGAACCTTTGAATCCTCCAAAGGTTGACGCGTATTGCTTTCACATACCTAGGGTTTCTTCTCAAGAACTCACTAAGAGATCAAAGAAAGCTAAAATTTTCTTCATAATTCATCATTGGAAAAAAATACAATGATTAGGCCTTCATATATATGTCTCCAAATCACAAAATGTAAAAGACACAAATGCCCTGAGGCTACAACATGACACAAATCCCTCTTAGGGGTACAAGTGGAAAACTGAAAAAAAATTAAAAGAAATGCACTAAAACATCATAAAAGAAACTATGAATCCTAGATCGCCATCGATCTACGATTCCGCCAATAGTAAGTATGTCGGAATCTCCGGTGATGTCCTCATTAAAGGGGAAGCAGAATGACATGAACCCTGAGTATTGGGCAATGTGGCATCTTCTTTGGAGGTGCACTTTTGATTCTTGACTTGGCTTCACCAATCTGCATTTGTAATTCATTCAACTGTGAGGAACTAATCTTAGGGCAAATTTACTCCAACTTTAGAAGATTTTTCTATTTATATAACATTACTCCATAAAGACTTAGTCTTTAATAGTAGGCTCTCATGAACCTTCACACCACTCCCAGTTTCAAAACTAATATAACTCATTATCCTTTCATTGAACATTTGAAATTCAGGATAAAGTCTTAAAGGCAGTGCAGGAAAAAATTGGGTTATCATCCTTCCTTAATCCTTATAAGTTTGTGTGTTTACACTAGATATGAGAGGGGAACTAAAGCCCACTGCTACTTCGCAGTTGAGAACTTCGAGGCAGTGAAAAATACGTAAACTCCCTACCATACTAATTTGAAGCTTGCTATGTTAAGGAAATAAACACTACGAGCATTTTCTATAGTGCTATGTCAGGGAAATAAACACCAAAATTTTCTGGTTTATAGATTTTGTGTTTATTAATGATTAATAGCTTTTTTTTTTTTGAAAATATAGATGTTTCATAGAATTTGGGAAACTTAAATTATAACAAGCAAATCAATCATGTAATAATAAGGAAATAAACACTACAAAGGAAGGAACTAATTCATCTATTTTTAATAACCATCAAGTTTCAGTTCAAATACTTCCTATCAGAGCTTCATAACAAGCAAATCAACCATGTAATAATCTAAGCATGCTTCACTTGCGACCTCAAGAGTAAAAATTACCAAATACTAAACACATGTACACATTCAAAGAGCAGCCATAATGAAATTGCTACATAGAATGTTGGCATTACTTGATTGCCGATGAAGTTTTGGTGAAGGAAATCTTCAATGACTTGCGACATAGATTGTGGAGTGAGTTTTCCTTGTCGCCAACATTTGATCTCTAGCTAATTGCGAAATTGCCGGTAACCATAGCTACATGCATCGACTATTGTACGGGATCGTGAATGGAGCTAGATCTTGACACCATCTGGCTTCTTCCTCATCATCGATGACCAATCGTCAGAAGAAACCCTAGCTGCGCCCGCAGAATCGCAATGGTGCGGTATCATGATGGAGTGAAATCGAGCGGGGTCGGGATAGGAATAGGGCTAATTTATTAAATTTTTTTAAATATTAAATAATAAAATGTATTTTACAAAAAAATATAATTTTAAATATTTATAAAATAATTTTATCAAGAAATATTAGAACACGCGTGTCTAATTTTTTTAAATATTAGTTTATTCTGACATAGTTGCGTGGTGTCTGGCACATATCCCATATCGCCGGGCTAGTGTCTGACACTGCATACTTTATTATGAAAGAGTGTTGGTACATCATAGTAAGCTGGTCATTTAATAATCGTAATTTTTTTGAACTTTTTTTAGTGCATTTTATGGTTGAAAGCTACAAAATTTTCAATCATATTATTGCATAAGTTTTTATTAATTATGATGGATCATTTATTTTCTTTAGCAAAGAAAATCATAAATATGTTTAAAAGCTATTAGCAACGTATAAGTTTGTGGATCTATTTTCTTTCCTTCAATGTCTTAAATCAAGAAATACTTTTTTAGTCTATCGGGAGAAAGTTTGATTTTTTCAGCTGATCATTTAATAATTGTAATTTTTTTGAACTTTTTTTTAGTGCATTTTATGGTTCAAAGCTACAAAATTTTCAATCATATTATTGCATAAGTTTTTATTAATTATGATGGATTATTTATTTTCTTTAGCAAAGAAAATCATGAATATGTTTAAAAGCTATTAGCAACGTATAAGTTTGTGGATCTATTTTCTTCCCTTCAATGTCTTAAATCAAGAAATACTTTTTAGTCTATCGGGAGAAATCAACACCCCCCCCCCCCCCCCCCCCCCCCCCCCTTCTTTACATAGACACAAGAAATGCATTATCAAATAATGGGAAGTTATTTATAAAATTGCTGATATTTTTGTATTTCTGGAATGGCTTTGTTTCTTTTCTGAAGAATGTTTGATATCTATCCGAGAAATCCAACTGAATGTGTTTTGGTCAAATCTTTTGGGTTGATTGCTATTTGTTACATTTGCAGGCTATCTTTACAATTTTCAGACAAGGGAGTTCTTCGATCTTAGTCATGGATATGAACCATCTGAAGGTTCTGCAAGATTTGGAGGTTTGTGGGATAATATTTTTCTTGAGTTGCTTTCATATTACCTGGGATTTTCTTTATCTTGTATTTATTGGGATAGGAAGGCAACCAATTTCTTAGCTTTGAATTTGCTATAATTGTTAGTATGACCTGAATTCAGGTGTGAATAAATTTGATTTATATTTCTATTTTGTTTCCTTTAGTTTTTTAGCTGTATTGTAACTGTCAATCTTATACTCCATTTAAGCTGTGTCTTAGGTAAACTGCCACTATGCTAAATAAATTTTTGGAGTTTTTTTAGATTTTTAAAATTATTTTTTATGTCATATCCTTACGACAACAACAACATCAACAACAAGCCTTTATCCCACTATGTGGGGTTGGCTATATGAATCCTTTTTCTCCATTGTGTTCTATTAAGAGTCAAATTCTCATCTAAATCTAATAAAGAAATGTCATTTCTAATATTTTCTAACCAAGTCTTTTTAGGTCTACCTCTACATTTCTTAACATAAGTCAAATTTAATACATCTACTTTCCTAACCGGGTCATTGGAAGGCCACCGTTTTATGTGACCAAACCATCTAAGGTGATCTCTCTAATCTTATCTTCTACTGGAGCTACTCCAATCTTTTCACTTTTATGCTCATTTTGTATCTTGTCTCTAAGAGTAAAGCCACTTATCATCTTGAGCATCCTCACACTTAACTTAATATTAGACTTTAGTTATGTCATATCCTTAAATTTTAGTTATTTTTATATTTAAATTTCTGGTTCAGAAAGTAGCGCTTCTTATTCAGAGGTTTACATCTATCCTTAGGTTAAAGGAAATGCTTTAGTTTTATACCTTGAGCACTGACTTCATAGATCATGTTCGTTCTACATTTAATAACTATTTTGTTTATGGTCCTTCTTGATTGATTGCTCATCATGGAGAAACAATTCGTTATCATTTCCTTCCAACGTAATAAAAGCTCAAAGACTAGCTTGTTGTTTCCAAGCAAGAAAGCTTTTTTTAACCAATTTCAGATTTCTTTTAAATTGTAGGTTCATTAATATTACTTTTTTTTCCGATAATGTCTTTAAATTGTAGGTTCATTATGATTTAAAAAGATATATGAACCTACTTTTGAATATTCTACACAAAATCACGCCTTTGGAAATGTTAGCTAGAAGCATATGCATGTCTTTCCACGGCCTTTTAAGAACATGGGGGAGCTGTGGCAGATAAATGTTACTTTTTTAACAGCTCTAAAGGAATGATTTGATTATACACAAGGCGATACCATGGTTTAAGAGTCAGGAATGATGTGTTATATGTTCTTAGGATCATTGATCCAACATAATACCATCTACATCCTTGCACCAATTCAAATTTCCTTGAAAACTTTTAGTCATTGTTCGTTGAATAGAAGTGCTCTATATTGGTAATATTAGCAATCTGCATTATTCCAACAACTATTGCCTATAAGAAGTATCAAGCGGGGAACGATTGTGTTATTCAAGAAAGGTTGAATTTAGGGAGCAAGAGTTTCTTTTCTTTGATTTATTTTAATATAAATTTTTTTGGTTTATTAGTTGAAAAACATTAGACTTTATAATGTTAGATGAAAGAGTTTCTTTTCTTTGATTAGGTTTACAAATAAATCAGGATAGTACTAATGGATCCTGATAAAATTTCAATTAGAAAAACGATGTACCTTGCATTATAGAGAGGCTATTTCTACACCCTATGTAATTCCACGTAGATACCATATCTGGTCTGGTCAAAACTTTTTTGTCAGTTGAGTATGACTTGCTTCTTATCTTAGGCCCATGTATAGTTAGATTTGTTGGGGAAGAACCAAGATTGACTTGATGGAATGAATGGATCGAAGTTTATATTTGTGTGGGTTCAGGTTTTGTTTGGAACATAAGGCAATCATAAAAATTCTTAAGAGAATACTTTTTCATAAAAAATAATTAATAGATTTGCTTACAAAGCCATTATTCAAATTCCAAAATTATACTAATACTCAAAATCTTAATTATCACTTGCTACATAATCATCTTCATTCGTCATCTTGATGTTGAAGTTCTCTTGGCTTAGATGAAGGTTCTTTTCTTCTTTTAGATTGGTCTTGAATGTTGAAGTTTTTTTCATAGGCATCATTAGCTCTTATAACGATGCTCCATGTCAACTCATCTTCATTAAATACTAATTCATGTTCTGCATCTGACTCATCTAGTTCCCTTGTTAGTAACTCATTAATATCATGTGTCCTTTAAACTTGGATCTTTGGCACCATGATGTTGTATTTTAGATGCAATACCTTATTATATATTAAATTAGCCATCCCACTTTGAAAGCATTTTAAGATATTACCAGGCTCATGTATCATCATGTATTTTCTCTTTGATGAACATTATTTGGATGTGAGTATCACAATCCCACTCTTCTTATTATAATAAATGTGATTCCTATTTTTTCAAAACATTAAGATGGCTAATTATTTAGTCCATGATTCATTTATTATGATGATCATGTGTATTCTTACCCTTGATATCATGATCCTTATAAATCGTATTATAACAATCGCATGTATTCTCATCAGCGATATCATAACCTTGATCAATCATATCATGTTGGTCATCTCCTTTTTCATCTTCGGTACGATATAACCACCAAAGCCAAACCACTTTGATTGGTCTTCTTCTAAATCTCATCGAGTTTCTAATCAACCTCAATTTCCTGATGAAATATTAAATTCTAAATTAGATTGGTGCCTAATGAAAAATTGTAAGTCCCTAGTAGGGGTGTAAAAAAAAATTAATGGGTTAACGACCTGGTTTGAGTTTGACCCGAAATTGTCCTTATCTCAATCCGGTCAAACGGAACCTAACCTTTTTAATAAACGGGTTAAAAAAGTGGACCCAAACCTGACCCCCTAACAACCTAAACCCAACTTCATAATTTATTTTAATTTAAAAAAATTGTATTAAATTGTTAACTATAGATTTTAAGATAAATTGCTAAAAACTATAGGATATGCCAATAAATAAAAGAATTTAAGAAAAAAAATTAAACGAGTGTTGAGTCAAAATCGGGTTAACGGTTCAACCCGAAACCAATCTGTTTAATAAAAAAATCATAATACACGACCCAAACCTGACTCTTTTATTAAAAGGATCAACCCAAACCCAAATTTTTTGGGTTGGATTCAGGTCGGGTTGGCGGTTCAGATAATTTATTGAGACCCTAGTCTCTACACATTTTCATCTAGTTACTTTGATCTCAATTCCACTACTACCACTATCGTCCCTTGTGCATTTGAGCATGAATGTGATGTAGTTAAACTTGAGTTTTGACTCTATGCTTGAGGATGGGTTTGAGCTTTAGCTAACTCTAGTGATATTATCTGAAATTGTCTTTGCACCAGTGTTTGTGCGGCCTTTAGCCTCTATGGTTTTACGTCCTGGATAGATGGAGATATAAGTTTATTTTCTAAGTACTATTGCTCACTTTGTCAACACTTGACTACCTTTCTGCTTCTTCCACCACCAGTGGTCTTATTGGTGCTCATAGACATTATATTGTATGGAGATAACCAAATTATCCTCCAATGATTAAGATTTTATACATAATTTTACTCGATTCCTTACTCTGACTAAATGCTTAAAATAGCCAGTCGTCTATTCGTATTTTGTGTACTATTTTTCTTGGAAAGAAATATTGTTTGAAAAGGTTATAATGAAAAAGTCACAACAACTTCTACAACAATATCAAACTCTTATCCCACTACATGGGGTCAGCTATATGAATCCTTTTTCTCTATTGTGTCATGTTAAGAATCAAATTCTCATTTAAATCTAATAATGATTGTTTATGCTCTTGTTGTGATAAGCTTTTATATATGTTTGCAGTATATTATCTTTTTAATACAACAGCTCTTTATATATGCAGATTATTTTGTGACCAAATGTGGTGTTTTAATCATGTCATTGTTTGTTTTCTTCACTACTACGATGTCCGTTTCATTTACTCTCAGAGAAACTCAATCTCGCATGCTTAAGTTCACAGGTTTGCCTATTTCAGTTATTCTATTTTTTAAGGAGTGTATCTTGTAGCAAAACTTGTTTTTTTTTGGATAGTGTTAGGCATTATTATCATTGTATTACTGCAGTGCAGCTTCAACACCATGCTCGCCATCAGCTTCCAACATTCCAGTTGATTTTTGTGCATGTCATTGAATCTCTGGTTTTTGTACCGGTGAGTGGATTTTGAACTTAGCTTGGTCTTTTGAAAGTTATAGATGTAGCTTAATGAGAAATATTTTCTGCTGATTTTTGTCTAATGCTTAGTTCTTTCTAATATATTTTTTGTCATAGTGTTGCAGATTATGGTTGGGATTCTCTTTTTCCTGTTTGAATTTTATGATGATCAACTGCTTGCATTCCTGGTGCTAACTCTTGTTTGGTTGTGCGAATTATTTACAATGATCAGGTCCTTCCTCTTTATCAATAAGAATCTCTATTTCTTTTGATCCATACTGGCAGTATAATAATACGGCAAGTTTTAGAGGACTAAGCCAGCATTTAACCTTGATTTTATTGTTTCTTGCAGTGTTCGGACATCAATCTCAATGCAGTTTTTTCCTCGTTTCTTCTTGCTCTATTTTCTTGTTTTCCATATCTACTTCTTTTCATATCCTTATGGTATGTTTTTCCTTCGTTAAATCAAACTAAATGTGTCCTGGTAGTTCTTTTTTAATTATTTCTGAAGATATATATATATATATATTAGAGGACTAAGCCAGCATTTAACCTTGATTTTATTGTTTCTTGCAGTGTTCGGACATCAATCTCAATGCAGTTTTTTCCTCGTTTCTTCTTGCTCTATTTTCTTGTTTTCCATATCTACTTCTTTTCATATCCTTATGGTATGTTTTTCCTTCGTTAAATCAAACTAAATGTGTCCTGGTAGTTCTTTTTTAATTATTTCTGAAGATATATATATATATATATATATATATATATATAGGTTCTAAATATCTTTCTCCCACCCAGGTTTTTCATATCTGGCTTTTTCAGCTACTGCTGCATTCATGCAACACTTGATTCTTTATTTCTGGAATAGGTTTGAGGTAATGATACTCTGATTTTTTTATATATGGAGTAGGTTTAATTTTTTGAATAAATTTGTAACTTCTGTGGAAGCATACTTTTGTTTAAAGGACAGGGCTGGAGTTATTTGTGCCAGATTCTTTCCTGTCTTCTTTTTTTCCCTTATATACGCTTACTGATTCATATTTGTATAACCATACTTTGTTATATGTATGGTGCATGTGGAATATTAGAAATGAAAATAGCCGAAGATCAATGCCAATCCGTTGAAGCTCCCGTAGAGAGAAAGAAGTTTCTCTCAAAATTGAAGTAGAGAAGAGGAGTGGATGGTTCGGCCAAGGGAAGAGGAACCACATGCGGGGGAATTAGTTTTAGGCTTTGTGAGGGACGTGAACTTAAAGCCTGAAATTAATTTCAGATTTTTACCTTGGAGAGATTTTGAAATTTGAAAACAATTCCAATAGGGGAGGAGAGGGAGGGGCTGGCGGCAAGAGAGAGGGGTTAGAGATTTGTTTCCAAACTTAATATTAGATTTTGGAAAGTAATTAGGAGGTGTGGGGGCTGTGGAAATTTCAGCCAAGAGGGGCTTGAGGGTTTGAATTAATTCCCAAAAGGAGAGATGGGTTTTAGGAAATAAATCCAAGGTAATTAATGAGGGTAGGGGCCGGCGGCTTAGTGGGCTAGCGAGATGATTGTGGGGAGTGATTTGGGTTGCTAATTTGTGATTTAGAGATTAGGAATGTCTTAATTAAACCCCAATTAATTTGAAATTCAAATAGGATTTAATTTAGAAACTTTCATAAAATAAATTTCCTAAATAAGGAAAGAATTTCAAATTCAAATAATTTTGAATTTTGAAATTAAACCTTCATAAATTAAAAGTGGATGCTTATGGAAAGTATTCAAGAGGGAGTGGGATTGTGGAGGGAAGATGGGTAAGTTGGGAGGGGCCGGCGGCTAGATTGGTGGCTTATGGGGATTGCGGTGGAGGGGTGGTGGTGGGGGTGAAGTCTGCGGGTAGGTGGGAAGATTAGGCGGCTGGCGGCCTAGGGATTCGGTGAAACCTTATGCCGGCGGCTAGATGAAGAAGAGAAGGAAAATTCGATAAAGAAGATGAACCACGAACCCGTCCGTCTCCAAGGTTGGTGGGTGATCCAAATTCCCTCTCCAAGGTACCTCGCTCCAATCTCTCTCAATCTCTCATAAAAACTCAAACATGGGGAAATTTTTTTTTATCATTCAATCATTCCACCTTAGAAGAGAAACATAAGGGCTATAAATAGCCTCGTAGAAAAGGACTCAAATAAAAAAGACGACAATGCCCTTAGGGCTTACATACGACCTCCCTTAAGTAAGGGATAAAACGGGAAAATAAATACAACATAAATAATAAGAGACAAATAACATCGTAAAAGAAAAATACATTAAATGACTAAAAAATACATCGACTCGATCGTGGCCGTAGATCGGTGGCCACGCCTCTGATAGACTTTCCACACTCTGATGTTCCCATCAGTTTTTGACCAATTTATATGATCTTTCCTAGTTTTACTTTCCTGTCTTATGGGCTTTTTTTTGGGTGTGATCTTTACATTTACGTGCCAACCAAAAATTTTTGGGTTGAAATTAATATATTTTTATTAAATATATTAACTCGTAGAGGCCTACCGTCTTTGATTTGAGGTGTAGTTTTTGGAGCGATGAGAGTTTGACTATGAGGCTCCATTGTTGCGGGTGTTATACTTATTGACAATTTAATTAGTATTCAGAGAACCCGCAATGGTAGGTTGTTTCTCATAGATAATTCCGAATTATTGTGTGCTAAAATGTTAGCAATGATAGAGGAGTATCATTTCAGTGTCACACAAAAATTAGCGCACACAGATAAGTTAACTGCAACTCGTAGGTGGCACAATTTTTTAAGTGAACCTTGGAAAAGAAAAACTATATGGGCAAAGGGATTATATTATGTAGGTTGAAAGTTACAATAAATTGCCATCTTTTTTGTTAGAGGGGATGGGGTTACAAGAAAAAGGCAATGAACATTGACATCAATTCGAGACAAATGATGAATTTTTTTCTTGTTAGATGACATTCGATCGAGTGTGTCAGCAACGATCCATGATCGATGCTAGTTGCAATCGTTGGCAACGTCAATAACACAACAGCGTTGTTTCATGACAATCGACAGTGGAGGTTTGTGGTAGGTGTCAACAATGGGAGAATTGGAACTCTTTGATTTCCCTCTCCTCTGGATTCCTTCGTCAAAGCGTATAAGAAAACCTATCTATAGGCTTACAGAGCAAGCGTTATGTCATTTCTCTATCATAATACTAGACACCATTTTTGAAGGTCCATCCTCTTGATTCTTTGATATTTTTTGAATATCATAGTGCCTTATTGATCTCTAAATTGAACGATCTTGGGTCTGATGGATTCTTCTTGTTGAAATGCTTATTTTGACTATAAGCACACAAATATCCATGGTCGTTTGGCCCTACAAATTATCTCATGGTCTTTTAATTATACTTTTAAGTGTTTGATTTAGCCCTGTTTAGGCATTATGAGGATTGGTATATTTATCTTATCGAGATGATATTTTTCAACAAGTTTGTTGAAAATGTTTTTTGGATGATTGAAAGATTAATTTCTAAAGTTTTTGGCTTGAATATTCTGGTGTTAATCTGGAACTGGCATCAAGATTCTTATTTCATCGATCAAATTTTTGGGTGTTATATCTATAAGCTACATCATGTTGATTGGTTCTTAATACATAAATTTTGAGCAAAGCAAAAATTAGATGCTATTGATTTCTAAGCTCTTTGTTCTTAATTTGAAACATTGATAGCTACATAAGATGTAATAATTACCAAAAAGATCATTTAACTTGTTTTGAAAAATACAAAATATTTAAAAAATGTAGGGTTATTTTTTATTTCTATTCATAATATTTTAGTTTTTTTTCTCTTGAAACAACCAAGGTAGTGTTTGGATGCTAGGAATTTGAGTGTAAGGAAATTAAAAAAATAATAATAAAAAGATGAAAATCTTTAATCAATAGTTGGAGATACATAATCAACTACTAACCTGTTTGAATTGAAAAAAAGCCCTGGAGAACTCCATTTCTGAAATTCTAAAACTGAAATTTAAAAACCTTGGATCATGATGACAGATTCGTTTAAACTTTTTTGTTCCAGGTACCAGCCCTGCAGAGATTCATGAGAGCCCGAGGCCAGTTGCAGCACCAAGCAGGCGTGCAAATTACTTCATCCACCATCTACACCTCTACCTTACACATCGCAAGGGTCAATGTCAGGAATGCAAGCATTGGAAGCTTAAATGGGATCCAAACTCCCGGACAAGTTTCAAATGAGAACAGTACTGCAACTGCTCCAGATCAACCAGCTCCTGTTAATGTTCCTAATTCAACAAGCAACCAGCTCCGATACCCAGCCTTGAATGCCCAGCAAACTGGAGCTGCTCCTGGTTCTAGCTTCCTTAATCCCTTTGGCTCCTTCTTGCTCTGGATTTTGGGCGGCGGTGCTTCCGACGGCATCGTATCCTTCTTCTCTATGTTCAGAGACATGCGAGACCAGGACCATGCACAGGATTTCACCCAACCAGAAAATGAACCGGCTGGACAGAATCAGGAAGATTGACATGGTTTCCTTGCACCTTCCATTGGTAAGTCTGGTTCTCTACGTTCTATTCTGGAATGCAAAAACTGCTTTGTTTGATGTGTTATAGCTCTCCCTATAATCTTCTTTCTGCTCCTTCACATGTTTGAAATATGTCATAGAAATTTTTTGTGTTTGATTAATTGAATATGTACATAAAGAAGTTGATGAACAGTCTTCCTTCCCTTCATTTAACAACTTGGTTTTTATTTTTTTTTTCCTATCTTGTTTTTAGTTTTTAATTGCACCTCTTATTTGCTTTTCCAAAATATTACACTATGGATGACTATCTCTACTAAAATCTCTTTGATTAAGGCTTTGTTTGGAATGACTTTCTTACTGCTTCTTAAAGCCATCCCAAGCAATGCTTAAATGAGATAATTGAAGATCTGAAATGCTCTCAAAAGCACCCTTTGTGATATATCCTTGACCTCAATACAAGAATTGTTGATTGCAATCTTTATCAATATGCTTATCTTTGCAATGTAATCCAATTGATTTTATGTATCCAAATGGAATCAATGAAGTTGTCACTCTGAGGCTTTGTTTTACTCAATTTTCTTACTGTTTTGTTTTTCAAATTGTAATCACAATTTTTATTTGGGCATTGTATTCTACAGCAGTTAAGAAAAAACTAATTTCTTCATAGCAGCTTCACAATCATATTTATAAAAATTCACAACCGTCCCAAATGGACCCTAATGCTATTGTTTGGGATAGCTTTTTTATTATTTTGCTTTTCATACCGCAATTGAAGTTTTTCTTTGGTCATTATGTTTTTTATTATTTTAATACATTTTTATGCTAGGAAGTTATTTTCTACAACAACTTTTAAATAAGTTTTGTTATACAAAATAATTTTATAATCACCTTTATAAAAAATTTCAGTAGTCTCAAACGGACCCTAAATTTAAGCGCATGATTAGTATTTCTATTAAATTAGCAATGTTGAGGTCTTTTTAGCCTTATTTTCTTCTTTTATATTTACTCCAAATAAGTTTCAATTTGTTATATTGAAACTAGAATTAAAAATATTTAAAATAATTTGATAATTGATTTCTTCAAGAGAATTTCCCCTTTAATTAATTTTGGTCAAAGATGGGAGATTAGTCTATTAGGTCTCCCTTTCCAAGGTTTGTTTATTACGAGTTGCATTAAGAAAATGGGATTAGGCAGTAAGTGATGATGGCTTTTGCTAATTTATATATAGTGTCTTTATTTTTTATGCTGAAATTGTCTAATTCAAATTTGCTAGTTTTATTAAATGAACTCTAAGTATTTTCATAGTATTTCACATTTTATTAGGAGGAAAAAAGCATTAAATATTTTTTATGATAGCATTAAACTTTTAATGATTTTCACTATCTTTAAATATTTTTATTTGAACAACTTTAAAGCATATATATACAAAATCATTTTATATTATAAGTATGTTATATTTATATTTTATAATTGATATGCCTATTTAGGCTTTGTTTGGAATAATTTTGTTATTGCTTTTTTAAAATAAATTGTTAGCTTAGATTTTTTTTTGAACCAGAAAATTATTTTAAAAAGTAATAAGAAAATTAAGTCAAACGAAGCTTAATCGTGGGTCGACTTTATGGCTCATAGATTTAAGGGTAGGAGCTCCCGAAAATCCAATATTTATGAGCTCTTTTATTATTGACAGTTTTAAGAAATGTATTAAAACAACCAATGCTTATGAGCTCTTTTATTACTGGCAATTTTAAGAAATATATTATATTTTTCTGTTGCCTTAATCTTTTTATTTATCAAGAAAGGCTTATCATCATATTTTGTTAGTATAAAAATGAAATTATACATTTTTTTATTTTTGAATATATATATATAGTAATTAAAGGCTTTTTAAATAATTTTAATATGGTGTTGTTTGGTTGACTGAAAAAAAATCAATGTGAAAGAAATAGTGTGAAAAAAATACAGTGCAAAAGTAATACATTGGAGTTGTTTGGATGAATGTTAATTAAATGTATGTGAGTAATTTTTATATTTGGTTGGAGGTAATGAATATAAAGTAAAGTCTTAAATAGTGATGGCTAGAGGTGGTGGTTTGTAGCATTTGTTGGTCGGCGGTGGGCTGTGGTGGTGGCCAACGGTGAGTAGTGGCCAGTCGGGACGGACGAGGGCGAGCAATAGGCAGTGCTGGCAGTCGGCACTGGTGGTAGGCAATGGTGTCAGTTGACGGCCTATAGCGGCAGCGATGCTCAAGCAAGGAGCAAGCGATGTAATGTGTTCTCACCCTATATTAGAGGAGAACGATTTACCTCAAATTTGAACTAAAATAAGATATACTGCATTTACTATACTTTGGATTTTCTTTTCACCCAAGCAAACATAAAAAAGTGAGAAAGCAAAGCATAGTAAATACTTTGCATTCACTTTTCACCAAACCAAAGAACCCCTCTATAGTAAGACCCACTTTCTTAGTGCTTTCTAAAATAATTTTTTAGAATAATTTTTTTTTTCCTAAAAATTTTTATATTTAAAGATTATTTTAAAAAATAGGAAGAAAATTATTTCAAACAAAATCTTAGACTTTGTTATAGAACACAATAATGGACGAGCTTGCTTGCTAACTAGCAACGTGGGCTCTTTGGAGATCATAGCAATAGAATCTATGACAGCCAAATATAATGGCGAAAATTAATTGAAATAGTTTGGCTTAGACTTTGTTTGGGATAATTTTCTTACTGCTTCTTAAATCAATTTTTTAGTGCAAAAAATTAATTTTTTAATTAAAAATTTATTTTAAGAATCGGTAGAAAGTCATCCTAAATGAGAGAGATCATTGGGTGCGGAGTGCGGACGGCGAGAACCGTCTGCACAAGCATTGGGTACCTAGCGGTACCCGCACTAGGTACCACTGAATACCGCTAGGTACCCAGTATTTATGCGGAGATGCGCACTCCGCACCTAAAAATTTTTCCCTAAATGAAGCCTTAATGATTATTTGTAGATACATAAATGTATTTTAAATATAATGCAAAATAAAGTTAATAATTGAATATATTTGAAATACTTTATAATTTTTTATTTCTTGTAAAATAAATTTTTCAGTTGAATCTGTGGTTGCTTCGGGCGGGGAGGTCGATGCAATTGCTACTCGTTAGGGTTGCAGACTCGCCGCCGTAGATGGCGGTGGTCGGTGGGGCTGTCGCGTGGGAACCTGAGGTAAGCCACGTTGAGCGATCGGCGCAACTCGCGTAGGCGGTAGGGCTGTTGTGAGCTTTGCTAATGGCGTCGGTACAATGTTCACGTGGAAGTTGCTGAGGGTTTGATGTGAAGAAGAAAGAGCCTAAGCCCTAAAACCGGAGGTCGAGGAGCTAAAGCGCAGGAGGATTCGGGGAAGAAATCATCAAAACAACATTTAGCATATTGACTGTACAAATCTTTACGATATACAACAGAGGATTGAAGGTAAAAAAGCCCAAAACTTTGATTCAGTAGCATCAAGTTCTTGCTTTGTTAATTCGGTTGGAATGATCAAAAAGTGTTGCTGCATAGGCTACAGGCAATGAGAGAATTTTCTTTGCCTTTCCTACATATGCACGCTTTGTGAAATTGTTGTAATCGTTTGCTTCTATAGCATCTAATATCTGCCTGTACAGTATCAGAGAAGTTGAAACCTGAGAGAAAACAACATTGTTAACTATTCAGAACTGCAAATAGAGGCGAAACCGGCCTTAATTTTTAGTGCGGCAAACTTATAAGTAAATGTGTTGAGATTTTTTTTTCATAAATATCTTTACAACAAAAAATTGTTCCAGGGCGCTGCCTCTTGACCCCTATTTGATCATATCCTTGATCGTTGTACGCTTTGGAGATATATCGGGGGTCCAAGGACGTAGCGCCCCATTGCGGGATTCGACCCTAACAAATTTTGGTTGTAATGATATTTTTGGATTTTCTTTACTATTTGTCTTTATATTTGGTTCATCATTCCCTAACAATAACATCTCTACATAATGTGTTTAATTATGTTGGGGCAATTGCCTAAAGACCATAGTATTTTAAAACTTTTAAGGGGGGCAATTGCCTAAAAACCTTTGTTATAAAGACTAAAAAATAGATGAATGAGGACAAATTACTTAAAAAATCATATAATAAATTTTTTTTTTTGAGGGGGGGGGGGGGCAATTGCCCCCCGGGCTTATAGTGGATCCGCCCCTAACTGCAAATGCCCCCTTTTTTTGTTTCCCATGTTAATAATTTCTTCAGCTTTCTATATGTAAAGAAAAATCATATTGTTTTTGTAACTTAGTATTTGTTTGGCATGCTATTATATGTTATGTTATGCTATTGAGTAAAGAATTATGAGACTTACATGAGTTCATTAAGGAATTGAAATGAATATTTTCATGAATTCCATACAAGCACATTGTTAAAATGATTTTGTGTCGCATACCGGCCATCGACTAGCTGAATCAAGCTCTGCAATGCCCTTCTCGGCCTCATTGAAGAACATTCTCGCACGCTGAATTTGTCCCTTCATAAAGCTTCTCCATTTATCAGTAACCTTCATTTCAAATATATCATTTTCTGATAAACCTGCAGATTCAAGCTCAACTTGTGGAAGGTATATTCTTCCCCTACTAGCACTGAACATAAATTTTTACAGTCAGAACCTATATGTTATGAGATTATGCAAACATTTATATAGATATCGACATACTCTTCTCCAACATCCCTAAGAATGTTTGTGAGCTGATTAGCAACCCCAAGGGCTAAAGCAGCATTATAAATGCTCGCGATCGAGGCCTTCGAGTTCGGGGCAATACCCATAACTGGAACACTCATTAGTCCTACAGTCCCAGCTACGTAATAACAGTATAGATATAGCTCATCAAAGGTCAAATATTTTGATTTTGTTAAATCTTGTTTCATTCCTTCAATCATGTCCTTGAATGGCTGCATAAAAGAGAAGTTATATGATTTGATTATGTTTATATTTTGTAATGCAATTTGTATGTTTCCATGTTACCTGTATATCAATGGGGAATCTTGCAACTGTGTCTGAAAGTGCAAAATCAAATAGATCGTATGGACGGCCTTCGAAGAGATCGGTGAGTCTTTTCTCCCATCGGTCGAGGGCCATGGGTGTTGTATGACTAGAATTTGGGCCATCAACTAGTTCATCAGTTCTTCTGCACCAAACTGAACATTGAAACATCTATCAATGCATCATATCTGAATATATTAACATAATGAAATAAACTTCAAATGGATACCATAGATTGCCCAAATTGCTCTTCTCCTCTCTTCAGTCATAAGCATTGTTCCTATGATGAAAAGATCAAACATAGAAGAAACAAATAATACATTTAAGAAATTTCTTCATTAATTGACTGATGAAAAAGCTCTTCTGGAATCTAATCTCTAAATATAATAAAAAAAATTCTAACATTAACTTATTCAAAGTGAAATACATTATTTCACAAAAACTCGATTATCATATCCTTTCATGCAATTAAAACTATCTAATTTATATAAAATTAATCAATTTTAAATTTTCACATAAAAAGTTTGGAATCAGATCATCATATGATTCATGCATTATATCATCATCTACTTTGAAAATTGTAATCAATATTTTATGGAGCATTTCGATTTCATTTGGGATGGCTTTCTTATTGCTTCTTAAAGCAGTTTTCTAGCAGAAAATTTTTATTTTTTGCACTAAAAAAATTTCTTTAAGAATCAGTAAAAAAGCCATCCAAAATGAAGTCTTAGTTTCTATCCCAAACAATTTTTTATGGCAGCACAGTTCTTATCTAATTATCCTTTTCCTCATCTAATCAGCAGAAAAAAGCTACCAAAACTGCAACAACAAACCAATCAAAACCAGAACCTTACCCAAATAGAAAGTCTTTGCATACTCCGCACAGACCTCGCCGCACCTTTCATAGGCGGCGCTTAGCATGTTGCAGCTCGCCGGAGTTGATAGCTTAGCGGTGGAAGAAGCTCTTCTGTTCCACTGAAAGGTTTCTCTAGCTAAAGCCGCCTGCTTTATAACCACATCGTGGATCATCTCCTGCGAAGATCTCATAGGGGAAGTTTCTGTCGGAATCGCAAGCGAAGCAGAGGGGAAGGCCATCCATTGCCGTCGCTTTCTCCTCCTCTGACAACTCCATTTGCTCTGCAGAATCAAGCTCTGTACTTTCTCCTCTGAGGAAGAAACCCGACATACAAAGCTAGCCATTTTTTTTTTCTACTTCTTCAGTTTTCTTTTAGTTCGTCGTATTGGGGAGAAGATTGCTTTATTTATTTTTTTGTGAGGGCCGTCGCCGCCACCTTTTTGCCGGCCGTTGCGACTGGTACCTGGTAGTCTTATCCGCGGAACAGTATAAGGCAGAGGAATCCGGTGGTCAAGGTACTCAAGTAATTGTCCTAATAGGCCGTGAACAAATCTAAATGTTATATTTGAGCATGTGCTTTAATGTATTAAACTCAAAAAGTGTCTTGTGGACAATCAAAAGGAAAATTAAAGTCATAAAAGTTTTAGAGAGAAAAAATAAGGAAGAGGGGAAGAAGAAGAGGTGAGATGAAAATCTCATCGGACGTAAAATGCGGCTATAATTTGAAGACTATAGAAATATATGTTGGATCGAACATATAAGAACTGGGCAGTTGCACCAAACACTAAGAGAGAAAATCAAATGAGGTAACAGACACCATCGGGGCTGACACATGAAGGTCCATCATCATCAAAAAGAGAAATAAAAAATTCACATTTTGAGGAGGCAAACATGACAATTGGTATCTTTTTAAAACTTGAAAATTAGAATTAGCAGTATTGTTGTCCCATAAAATAAAATGAGAAGAATATACACATCACAACGTGACAAAGATAGAAATCATAGGTGGTTTGTCAAAATGCCAAAATATGCCCTTGCAATGATAGCCCAATCATTATGATTACATATTTTCACGTTAGCCCTTTCAAAGCAAAGTATCTCATCAACATTCACTTGTAATTTTAAAAGATGATCCCAAAACTTGTGAAGAAAAGGAATGCGGGAAATGTTCTAGCCCCCAATCTCAATAAGTGCGGTCGAGTGAAAATTCAGAAGGATTGGTATTTGACATTAAACCATTGTAAAAAAGCAAAGAAGTGGTATTTTGAAATCCCCAAATAGAGTAGACATTCATTCAGTTAAAATTTCATGGATGGATAGGAGGCAAAGACCTCCTTTCTCGCATGGTCTACATAGGAGCTCCTAGGACACCATATGGAATTTGTTAGCATTGGAATAACCATGCAATAGGAATTTTGAGTAGTTCCTATTAAGGTTATTGTAGAACTTAGGGAGAAGAAGAGATATAGCCTATAAAGCAATGATGCATCAAATGGATAACTTATGGAATTGAAACTACCTAGCATAAGACATACATTTATCTTTCTTGCGGGCAAGCATGAAATGAGAAAGAAGTCCATTAACACAATAAACTAGCAAATATAAGTTTGATTAAGAAGGATATTAAAGCTTGAAGAATGTTTGTAGATTAAATTGATTTAAATAAAGCTTGTCTGACCCTTCCTCGCATAGAACAATTAGTGGATGCTACTTCTAAACATAAAAAAGCTTAGCTTCATGGACAGCTATTATAGGTATAATTAGATAAAGATGAATCTCATCAATGAAAAAGCTACCTCTTTTCAAACTGACAAAGGATTATATTTTTGAATCATGTCATTGGATTAAAGAATGTTAGTTCAACATATCGGCGCCTCATTAATAAAGTCATTAAAGGTATTATTAGGCATACTATGGAGCTTTATATTGATAACATGTTGGTAAAAAATTGTGAGAGAAAACATCATCTTTTAAATCTTGAGTAATGCTTTCAACTCTTTAGATATTATACGCACCTCAATCCCACTACATGTACTTTTAGGATGACATTTAAGGAAACTTTAGGATTCATAGTCACCCATCGAGAAATTGAAGCAAATCTAAAAAAGATTAAAATCATACAAAATATAATGCTTTCAAGATAAGGGAATTGCAACGCTTGAATGGACGAATAACAACCTTATCTCATTTCTTGGCTTGATCTAGAAATAAGTATTTATCATTTTTTTAGGATACTCAAGGGTGCGTATAATTGTAGCTTTTAATGGACAGAAGAGTTTGAAGATGTTTTTGGACAACTCAAATTATATCAAAGCTAATCTCAGGAAAAATTCTTTATTTATATCTTCATGTTTCTCCCTATGCAATACGTTCAGTGCTTGTACCGGAATAGAGTGGGGGGCAACACTCTATCTATTATATTTGGAAGATCGTGTCTAATACGTTTGTGAGATATTCATTAGTAAATAAAACTACCTTAGTTTGAGTGTTCTCAGCAAAAACGTTACGCCTATACTTTCAAGCTCACACAATTAGCATCTATACCCAACTCTACTTAAGGCCATCAATCTAAAATTAGAAGCTTATGGTCAATTAATCAAGTGGTTAATGGAGTTGGGAAATTTTGATTTTCATTTTTCGCCCAAGCTAGATATCAAGTCACATATACTTACTGACATTTTATTTGAATGCACCATTCGTGATATAGTCAAATCATCTCTTTCTTCTTTATCATCCCATTGGATATTATATGTTGATGAAGCATCTGAAAGTTTTGGTGTTGGGATAAGAATCTTGCTTATCTTTCCTCAAAATGACACATTAGAATATGGACTTTGCCTAAAGTTTATTGCAACCAATAATGTTGTCAAATATGAGTCTCGTCATAAAATGTGGTGTTCCAAATTTACTAATTCTCACTGATTCAAAATTTGTGGATTCTCAAATTGGAGATTTTAACACTTATAATCCACAATTGGTACAATATCTTAATTTTGAAATAACTTATTTCTTGCATTAGTTTACATTAAATCATCCACATATCTTGAGTACTCATTGCTTGAGCTCATGCACTCCCCAAACTTAAATCTTTGATAACAAGCGGTTTATGTAGAAGAAGATTCATAAAAGATATACATTTCCCCAGTGTATAAGTTCCAAGGTAAATATAATTTATTAAATAAGCAAAAGAGACTTAGATGGACCTGAAGACTCAACAACTGCTATTTGTATTCCAAAACAAGCTATAAATTTTAATACTTTTTTAGATGAATTGTATAAAATTGCATTTATGGATCCATACCTTCATCAAAGGCCAGCACTTTGAGAAGTCCATTTAGGGATTTGTGTAGACCACTTGGGAGGTAGAGCTCTCACTCATAAAAGACCATTTATAGGGGAAAATGATTTGCCTTCAAAAAATTCATTCATTTAGAAGGCAAATCTATTTGATTAACATGAATCTTAAATATTTGGAAACTTACAAAATTAATTCAAAGTCATTTGAAGACTGATTTCAACAAACTTATAGTTAAATTGAGCAACTTGATGAAACAAATCCAACAACACCAAAGGAGATTCAATCTGAGTCACAAAAATCCCAAATCAAGCACTTGAAGGATAGTTAAAAATTTTAGGACATTAATTGAAGGACCAAATGGTCTCCGAATCTTGCATACTTATAGTCAAAATGAGTGGCTCAATGAGATGAATCAAATAAGTTTAAGGTCACTTTATTCTAAGGTCATCAAAGCACTTAATTGCTGAATAAATAATTTATAATCATAGGATTTGATATAATTCGTTCGATGAAGTGTTATTAAATTTCCCCTAAATTTATTAAAATGCCCACTCTAAATGTACTTAAAATAGACCTCCATTCTTCACATGATGGGGGCTTGATCTTGAATTTGGAGAGAGCTTGAAGATTTGAAGAATTTTAGAGCTCTACTTGATGTTCGATCAATACTGATGATCACCTCTAGCCATCACCATTGCCCGACTACCATCTTTCGATCATCGTCTGCAAACTGTTGTATCCATTCAATGTCATCTGATTGTTGCCATTGGACGATTACCATCATTGTTAGTGACGTCCGAACAACGTCACCCAACTAGCACCATCAAGCTTTTAGAGAAATACCAACTCTTAAAACTTCTTTTAGAATCTTAAAATGTCATACTTTATGAATCTATAAAATAATTTATAATGTTTTAATGTTTTTTTGTCTTTTTCGAAAATGTAGGAATTTGATTAAGCTCTAAAGAGAGTTACCAGCTGGTCTATATTGCTCCGGTTTAATATCTTGATCAATTATTTTTAGTTAGAATGGATTTCAAATTTATTTAATTTATTTAAAATTAATATAAAATAAAATTTTATTTTAAATACATATATTACAATATATAAATACAATTTTATGGGGAAGAATTAAAAAAAAACACTTAATGATTTTTTTATATTGAAATTTATGCATTCATAAGAATTTTTTTTTTCAAATGATTAAGATTTATTCTTAGACATAAAATGTCATAAATGCATTTAATTTTTTGCAATTAAGAAGATTCATGCTTTGTTATGAATAACTCATTTTTATATGATTTTTTCATAACAAAATTTACATAAATTATTCTTAAAATTTTTGTTCCACTGAAGAAATTATTCTCTCACTAGAAAATGAAGCTTGAGAAGTCAAGCTGGTCTCTTCTCCCTTTGGAAATACATAATTAAAATCCTTAAATGGAGGATATTGGAGTAGTTTAGAAGTCTTCGAAAATTCAGACCATTTTACACCAAAAGCATCCCGATATTTAAGGATTTAACTTCTTTTACTTAAGAGGTTTCACAGTGAAGACCCTGAGCAATATGGATGTTGATCTTAGTTATTTCTATATATTATCTCAAACGTATCAATGTTGTTCATGTCATGAATGAACACTATTTGAGATATTTCAACTTTTGTTGATACGTTTTGAATATCTTTATATGTTCGTCATATTTAGTCAAGCAAACCTCGAAGCGATTATCGAGGCAACTTGGTCATAAAGATACAATATGCAAGGCACCGATAATATTTAGAGGCGGAATATATAAGAGAAAATATGATAAATTCTATGAGTGAGATGCACCTGAATTCGATAGGAGAATCATCATGAAGATATTCTATGAAGGATGAATGTCACTATTGAAACCAAAATAAGTAAGAGTTAAGTTGTTTTATTATCTTTATTGATGATTTTTTAATAGATCTCTAGGAATACATGCACTATGAAGCACATGTATATAGTTTTGAATATCTTTCTTGAATGGAATAAAATGATAGCTGCTTTCCAATGCATTCATTGGACTTAAATAAAATATGTTATTTATTCATAATACTCACATAATGGTTATAAGCATAAAATACATAACATAAGTGGTTTATATGGTTCCACATGCCTTGAAAGCACTTTGAATAAAATAATAAAACTATAGAAGCTAGAGATGCATTGTGCTTTGTTTATTTGTTTAATTTTATTGCAAGCAATTTTAATAATTAATAATATATTTTTCTTTTTTTTATGA